TTTCAGCTATGTAAAAAATGAAAAATTTTCTAAAAATATAATGAATCGACCAAGAAAAATCACCATCAAAAGAGTGAGTCCTACCCGTGTACTGCTGTACTCCGCCATCTGTAATCGGATCAGAAGAAACACTGTGTGGACGATGAAGTGGAACATTTCTAGAATGTAGTACTTCTGTAGCACACTTGTTTATAGCTACAAAGTCATAAACTAAATTTGCCGAATCGCTTAACGGCATGTTGCCCTGCGGCCGACACAGTGAGCACCTAAATCCGTTCTCAGATGCGGATTCCAGCATATCTTCTCCATACAAATCTTCACACTTTCCATGCAACCACCTAAAAATTTAAAGAATTACGAATAGTAAACCAGGCAAATTGAAATATGAGAAAAATGACATGTATTTAATCAGAATCTTTGGTGAAACCAACTAAGTTTCGTTCACCTGAAAACATTCTTCCAAATAAATTTTTTGACGGAAATGATTAAGACAGTATAATACCTGTTACAGTGTTGACACTTGATGATATGATCACCGACTTCGTAAATATGATGACATTTCGCACACTTTTTTAAAGAGAAGCACGTGTCACATAAACCCTCCATCCGGGACACGTCAACTCCATTAGAAATCTGTTGAGAACAACGACGACAAGTTGAACACCTGAGATTGAAGAAAAAAACACCATTAGAACTTGCAATCACAAAATCATCGAGAAAAACAACAACAAAAAAAAAAGCAAAATTATATCACTACAAACGGCTATAATGGGGAACTAGTCCAACCAAACTATACCATTTACAACGCCAAGGACCTTTCGGAATTTCTTCTAATTTAGGGTTTAAGCAATAAATATGGCATGAAACATCACATTCATCACAAAGCAAAAGTTTAGACTCGTCACGGCCTTCACCACAACCTTCACATACTGTGCAATCCAAGCATCTCCACCCTCTTTTGACAATCGTAGGGTTAAGCTAAAGCAAAATCAACAAAAATACTCGTTGCTTTTTTTCAGGAGGCAATGAGAAAAAGAAATTACTATTCAAAAACCAAGTAATCCTTAAAACATCATTAAAATATTCAGGAATAAAGAAAAATTAAAATGACAGGTTAGAGCGAAAATTAAATTAACAAGTATTATTAACAAAAAATTTTAAAAATTAAGACTAACTACAAAATTAAAACAGTAAATAACTACATGTTTAATAACAAGGCACATACTTTGTCGTGCAGGCCGACACAAAAGGTATGATAACTCTGTGCACACGTAGCACACGAAATCATCGTACCCTCAGCATCTTTTCCAACGCTGCCACAAATTAGACAAACAGAAACTTGACCAAAATACGAATGTTTCTCCGAAGTGACAACAACAGTTCGGATATAATCATTCTCATCGCGGTGCCTTCCTTCATCAGTACCCGAGCTTTCTTGGTCAACATCGTTTGGCGGAGTAGCAGACTGTGCAGCGCTTAAGGCTGCCAAAACAGGATATGTTTTACCTCCTCTAAAACAGCAATAAGTGAAAACCAGTTAGAATAAACCTACAAGATGAAAACTTTTGAACAAGCTGCTCTTTATTGAAAACTTCAACGTAGTAACTTAAGTAATCTAGGTAAGCACAATCAAACCCTCATCTTCTGAACGATAGAAAAAACAGCAAAGCAGAAGCTTAGACTTTACCTCCCAGGTCTCCCACGAGTTCCTTTATACCCCCCTCGTCCTCGTTTGCCTCTGTATGCTGAAGGTGTCTCTGTTAAATCGCCAGCACTGCCAGGATATCGCGACTTCAATTTGCCACGTCCCATTCAAACCCCGCTGACTCCTTTACAGTCGACTATGACATCCAAAGCTGAATATTAGTAACAGTAAATTGAAGTTAAAGTGAAACAGTTGACAAACAAAAGAAAATATCCGTGACATTAAAACCGAATAAAAAAAAATCCGGTGAGATTCACTAGTAACCAGGACACAACTACAACCATAAGAAAAATGACAACACATTTTAGACTACGCTTCTTTCATTAACTAACTGCTGCATACCACCAGTTACTAAGATTAGAAACAAAAAAAAAAAAAAAAAAAAAAAAAAAAAA